TTTTGCTGGGTTTTAAGGCTATTTATTTTGGGGGGAGTGATTTTGCTGGATTTTTCGAAAGAAAGACGAAGAAAGAATGACACGAGTAGAAATTTCCTTATCCTAGAAGAAGAAAATAAATTTCTCTCAATTCCTTCCTCCCTATTGTTTTTCTTCTCTCCTCCCTCTCTCTTTTTCATCACATTTCTCTTCTATTTATAGAAAAAAAATCAGAATTTTCAGATTTTTATTTTTTAATTAAAAAGAATTTCCACTTCCCATTTTTCTTATTTTTTTTTAAAAATAATTCCCCACTTTCCTTTACTTTTATTTTTGAATTTCTCACTTTTTTTACTTTTAATATATTTAAAATCCCACTTTTTTACTTTTTTTTTATTTTTCACTTATTTTACTTTTCTTTTTTTATTTCCCACTTACTTTTACTTTTTTTAAAAAAAAAAATCAGATACCCTTACTTTTATTTTTTAATTCCAACTTTATTTAACTTTTTATTTTTTAAATTTTCATATTCTTTTACTTTTATTTTTTTAATTTTCCACTTTCTTTTACTTTTTTTATTAAACAATTTCTACCTACTTTTACTTTTAATTTTTAAATTTATATTTCTACTTTTCCTATTTTTTAATTCCCATCCTAAATTTATTTTAAATAATAATAATAATAATAATAATAATAATTAATTTTTATTTATTTTCGGTTTTTAATTTATTTTATTTAAAAATAATAATAAAAATAACANTATATATATAAGTGTAACAAAGCTAAAAAATATATATTAAATTCTAAAAATATTTACATAGTAAAAGGTGATAAAAATTCAAATATAGTCAAAAATTAGGTTCTTACAATCGTTTGTGATGAAGGAAGTTTTTTCCTGATCACCCGGTTCCATCCGGATTTGGTTGTACCCGGAATAGACATTGAGAAATTTGAGGATCTCGTGGCCGCCCGTCACATCTATCATGCGATCGATGTTGGGCAGAGGGAAAGAGTCCTTGGGGCATGCCTTGTTCAGGTCTTTGTAGTCTACACACATTCTTAATTTATTTCTCTTTTTCGGGATCACTACCACGTTTGCTAACCAGTCCAGGTACTTAACTTCCCGAATGGAACCTATTTTAAGGAGTTTAGATACATCGTCTTTGATGAATGCATGCTTGACTTCGGACTGAGGCCTCCTCTTCTGTTTAACCGGATGAAACTTCGGATCCAAGCTTAGCTTGTGAGTAGTTATTTCCTGCGGGATCCCTATCATATCAAGATGGGACCATGCGAAATAATCTATGTTAGCTATACGGAATTCAATGAGTTTTTTCCTGAGCTCGGGACTTAACCCCGTGCCCAGGTATACCTTCCGACCGGGCAGGTGCTCAATCAATATGACTTGCTCTAACTCCTCGACTGTTGACTTGGAGGCATCGAAATAGCTTGGGGCTATGAAAGATCTGGGAATTCTGTAGTCGTCCTCCTCGCCAGTCCCTTGCTTTTCTGGTTCGGTCGGGGCTGGTGTCGGTGATTGCTATTTGGTTTCTTCTTTGGTGACCAAACTCGAGTTATTTGATATTGAAAGTGCGGATATCAGGACCACCTCATCGACCGCGAACATCTCTTTTACGGCCGGTTGCTCCCCGTAAACTGTTTTAACTCTCTCTGGTTTGGGGAATTTCAACGCCTAGTGTAATGTCGAGGGTACTACCCTCATGTTGTGAATCCATGGCCTCCCGAACAGAGCATTGTATTTTATATCTCCTTCGATCACATAGAACTTTGTTTTCTGGACGGTTCCGGCTGTGTTTACCGGTAGGGTTATCTCCTCTTTAGTGGTCTCACACGCCATGTTAAAATCGTTTAAAACTCAGACTGCATGCACAATTTGGTCTTGTAGACCCAGCTGTTCCACGACTCTCGATCTGATGATATTGGCTGAGCTACCTGGATCAATTAGCACACGCTTAACTCGAGATTTGTTCATGAGTACAAATATTACCAATGCATCATTATGTGGTTGCACGATGTCTTCAGCATCCTCGTCATTGAAAGATACGGTTCCCTCCGGTACGTAATCTCAAGTCCGATTTTCTCTTGTAATGGACACCTTAGTGCACTTTAGCATCAGCCCCTGGGGGACGTGGACCCCACCCATGATCATGTTGATGACGTGCTGAGATTCCTCTTGTCGATCTGCTTGTTGGAGTCCCTATTCCTGAAGTGATTTTTGGCTCGATCACTCAGAAACTCTCGGAGGTGTCCGTTGTTGAATAACCGGGCTACTTCCTCTCTCAGTTGTCGGCAATCTTCGGATCTGTGGCCGTGAGTGCCATGATATTTACACATTAAGTTGGGGTCCCTTTGGGAAAGATCAGATTGCAATAGTCGAGGCCACTTAGTATCTTTGATGTGTCCGATGGATGCTACGATGGCGGCAACGTAGACGTTGAAGTTGTACTTCGATAACCTTGGCGCTTCCTTAGACCTGATGGGTCTGTCAAAACCGCTTTTGCCTATGAGTCCCCGATTATTCTTACTTTGGTCGCTCCTTCTTTCACTTCTCATAGTGTTGCGTCCGTACCCATCACCCCTTCGATCTCCATTGTATGGTTGATACCGGTCTCTATTCAATCTTGGTTCACGATCAATGTCTCTTTTGGATCTGTCACCAGTTCTGACGGGGTAAACGGACTCAGAAGGGACCCCGAGCTGATCGTCTTCGCCCCTGATTTTTGATTGGTACCGGTTATGGACATCGGCCCAAGTTACTGCCGGGTATAGTATTCTATCAGATTTTGCTTCAACTGCTATGAAGCCAGTGAGCTTCGGGGATTGACTCCTTGGGTAAAGGGGCCTGAATGACCCAATTATCTACGACCGGAGGCAGGTCCATCCATTCTATTTGAAACCTCGATATGAATTCCCTGAGCATCTCGTTATCTCTTTGCTTTACCTTGAAAAGGTCCGATTTCCTGGTTTCGACCTTGATGGCCCCGTCGTGGGCCTTTACAAAGGCATCTGTAAACATAGGAAATGAGTCAATATAACTAGGGGTAAGTTGTGATACCATATCATAGCTCCATTCGACAAGGTCTCTCCGAACTTTTTCAACATAACGAATTCGATTTCATCATATTCCAAGTCAATTCCTTTGATGGCGCACGTATAAGAGGTCACATGTTCGTTGGAATCGGTTGTCCTATTATACTTTGGAATTTCGGGCATACGAAACTTCTTCGAGATCAGCCTCGGAGCTGCGCTCGGAGGGAAAGGCTTTTGGACAATTTTTTTGGAATCTAGGCCCTTCAGTATCGGTGGTGCTCCCGAGATTTGGTCAACCCTAGAGTTATATGTCTCCACTTTTTTGTCGTTGGCTTCGATTTTCTTTTCTACCGATTCCACCAGTTATGTCAGTTCCTCAAGCATTTTTATTATCTCGGGGTTGGTCCCAGGTTATGCTTCACCCGGCCTTTCTGTGGCCGGTTCATTCATGTGGGCATTTTTTCGGGACGATTCGGGATCAACTCTGCTGGGGGCTCGGCTTTGGTTCTGCAACTGAGCTATCGCTGCCTGTTGAGCCTGTAGCATTTCGAAGATCACGCGCAAGTTGATCCTGTCACCTTCGCCGTCGTGTGTGCTCCAGGCTATCAATCGGGCTCCCCCGCGAATGCTGTTTTCGGGGTCAGTAGGCAAGTTTGCTTCGATAGCCACATGTGAGTTAGCATCGATCGGATCAGCGACTGGGACTCCGTTGGGGTCAGCAGGGGGCACCCCGTTGCTAGGTACCACGTTGTTGTTTTCTCCATGGTTGCCGGACTCAACATCCACGTTCAAATCGGCAGATTGGGAGTTCGACATTTTTAATCTGACCTGAAATTAAAAGCTCAAAGAACAAGTGTAAAATAGAGTGTGTTATGAAAATTTGTATCAAATTGCTACTATTATCCTTAGCCCCTCGGTGGGCGCCAAACTGTTTACCCTAAAAAACGGATAACAATTAAATTTGTAAGTGATTTTAAGGATACGTGGATTAATTCAATACAATCGATAAATTGCGTTAGATTAAACGGATAAAGGACATGATAAATTATCAAACCGATCAAGAGAGGTGATCCCTGACTTAGTAACCGCCTTAATGAGATGCCTTCCCTCGATCCGAGCCTCATAACAACGAAGCATTGATGAACAAGAATAAGAATTTTGAATAACAGAGAAAATAAGAGTATATTGCCTTGATATGCGTGTTACAATGTTCCTCATGAATAATCACACTCTCCTTTATATAGTAGGGGAGTTTTACCGTAAGTACAATTCCATAAAAGTTAAAAATCTTTCATTTAACTAATCACTGGTTTTTTTGCCGATATGCACCGAGATCAACGCCGTGATATCTGGCCGGTCGCGGATATCACAGCCTTTTGTTGGTCGTGCTCGATTGTTTGGTAATGCTCTCCGAGGCTTTTGAGGTTCGAACCGGACCTGGGGGTCATGGTCCCGATACTTCCGAGGGCAGCTATTTTGTCCGGACCCCGGACCAAAGGGCTTCTTGCCTCGATTTCAATCCCTTGCCTTTACGTTTCTTGTTTCGTTTACTTCATCGGAAACCGAGATGTCCTGCGGACTCGATTTCACCCGTATACAATATGATCATAATTTAAAAAAAAATAATTTTAAGTAATAAAGATTTAATTGTGAGAAATAAGTATTTTATATGTTCAGTAGCAATATAGTACTCCAGTAATAAATTCTTTTGCAAAAGATTATTGTATGGGAATATCGCTGCTTTACGAGGCCGAGATTTTCTGAACACGTGACAGGGCCATCTAACTTCTTAGTATAAACCGACACCGTTTTGTCGGTTACCTTAGCTAACATATGTTTGGTATCATCTTCCAAAGTCCTTGTCTAAACCACGTGGTTCATAGGTACTCTTGTAACCCACCACGTGTCACTTCCTCGTTCATTTACGTTTCACCTCCCAGGGGTTCTCCCACGGAATTAAATTCAATCCCTCCTGTATTTTTTACTTCCCAACCCTTTGTCTTCTCTTCTATAAAAAATATAACCTTCCACGGCTGACTCCGACCTTCCGGCGACTTATTTTCCGGCGAGTTTGAAAACTCCGACGAATTCACTTTACAAGCTTTATTGGAGCTTTTCTATTCCCATTTTATAAAAATATCTCTTTATTTAAATTCTACTCCAATATTCTCATTTGCTGTTTATTTTTTTCTTAATGGAGAAAGCTGAAGAGAACAGAGGAAATAGGTGTTTTTCGAGGGATTTATTGCATAAAGTTATCAATGGAAAAAGGAATTATGAATTTGATGAAAATGTGGGGGGTGAAGATGAAATAGAGCTAAGTTTGGGACTTTCATTGAACGGTAGATTTGGGGTGGACCCAAAAAGAGAAAAGAGGCTTAAACGTTCTTGTTCCTCGATAACTAATTTTGTGTTTTCTTCTGGTGATTATAATAATAATAATAATAATAATAATAATAATAATAATAATAATAATAATAATAATAGTAATGGAAATGAAATTCAATTTCGTGATGACATTTACGCACCACTTAATAGGACGTGTTCTTTGCCTACGGAAACAGAGGAGGAGTGGAGAAAAAGGAAGGAGTTGCAGTCCTTTAGGTGTTTGGAGGCAAAGAGGAAAAGATTGGAGAAAATGAAGAATGCTGTTAGAGTTGTTGTAAAGGAAAATGAAGAAAATGGGAACTGTTATAGTAAGGGTGAAACTGGTGGTACTTTTTTGCAGTCTTCAGTGGGGTCGTTGGGATCACAGGGAAGTGGTTCTGGTTCGTCAGGTATTTCTGAATTTGAGAGTCATCAACCTATTCAAGGTATCAGAAAAAATTTCCTTTTTTATTTTTATCCTTTAATAAAGGGTTAGTTTGTTGTTGATTATTGTTCTTGTAATGCCGCGACCTTAGAGAATGGAGTTGCTTAGGTTTGTACACAAGAAAAGAAATAGAATCCACAACTACTGGTACTGAATCTGCTCTTCTTAATCCTGGGATAAAAGCTGCAAATTCAGCAGCAGATTGTATCAACCATAGCTCTACTTCTAATGTCTAAACGCTAAAAATCTTGTAAAGCAACATTTAATTTAATCTTGTTAAAAATTTGGAAAAAAAAACGAGAAAAATCAAAGTTATCCATATCACTTGAAGACTAAGATCATCAAGATGCTGTAATGTTGGTGAAGTAGGATCGGAAGAATTTGAACTATATATGGGTTCTGAATTTGCCATGGAGTTCATAACTCATCTTTTGTTATGGATTTGCAATTAAATATTTATGTATATTTAATACAATATAGTGTTTAAGCAAAAGTGATTGAGTTCGGCTAACCACACCTAATAGGCTAGCTCCGCTTGAGTAGGATGTTTCCTATGCATTATGGAGTCTAAACCTCTAGCAGAAGTCAATGTTAATTTTCTCTTCTTCTCTCCTTTGCTCTAATGTTAGAGATCACTTTTGGTCCCTGAAGATATTAACTGATTTGGCACAGAGTAGTAATGTCTAATGACCAACTTGTCCTCGGCTAATTATACTCATACTCATACACTTTACTGGACAGGTAATTGGCCTTGGTGTGCTAAGAGCCTAAGATCATGAAGTTTTGCCACTTGTTTATGAAATATTAGTTGATGTTATGTAGATGGTGGTCGAATTATGATGTAGATTGATCTATCTAATGCTTGTGTTGCCTTTGATGAGAGTTTTGGCTGCTCTTCTAGGCTTTTCAGTAGAATTTCGTACGTTCAATAATTAATAGCTATAGTGTCTAACTCTATTTGGTGGCAGAACCTGTCGATCTCTTTGCAATTTGATTTGTACATTGTTTTTGGGTATGTGGGATTTTAGGTCTTTAATTTATTACCTATTCCAAATAGATTGATGTTTGCTTTGCCTTATTCTTCAAACAGTGGCAGCCTATTCTGAATATATATACACATACTGTTTTTAAAAAAGAAAACAATATGCGTATATATAAAGCAGTAGCAAATGAAACCACTTAATCCTAATTAACTGTCTCTGTTACTGGTCACATACATGCTTCGCCGTTGGCTGTGAATATTGAAATGGGTTCATCACTTAAGCTCACTGGACATCTGGAGACATGAGCTTCCAATATGCTAATTAATTCATTTGTTGCATGTGGCAGATTGACTCAATTTTGGTTTTTCTGCTAAGTTTATTTCCTTGTAGCGGTTGAAATGGAGAATCTTTGCAGTGTATTTCTGGTTGTTTATACTCATCGTCAACCTCTCTTTTGTTTCTTCTCTTCGTTGCAGGGCGGAGTGATAGTACTGAAGCAAGACCTCCAGCCAGTGGCCAATCTCCAGAGCACGAACAGAAATCGGTCGCAATAGCACCTGAAACTAGTAATGAGAAAACACGAGTCTCGTTCAGAAAAACTTGCAAGGAAGCTAAAGAAATGTTCAAAAACTTCATGCTGAAAATGCCTTGTGTTTCCACAAGAGGTGATGGACCAAATGGGAAGAAAATTGAAGGATTCTTGTACGGATATAAGAAGGGAGAGGAAGTCCGGATAGTTTGTGTTTGTCATGGTGACTTTCTATCCCCAGCTGAGTTTGTTAAACATGCTGGTGGAGGTGATGTACAACACCCTTTGAAGCATATTGTTGTTAATCCTTCTCCTTTGTTGTAACAATGGGCCTACGCCCAAAAAGGGATTAGCTTTATCATTGTTAGTTTTCCTTTTGTTTTGTGAACTAAGTTCCTCAATCAAGTTACAAAGGTTAAGCAGATATATTTTGTGTATTTAGGTATGTGTCTCGTTCCAACCCTTTTCGAATCACTCACCCGGTACTGTGTTGGTGTGAGATAACAAAGAGATAATAGGTAAATAGTTGAGGCTGCGTGCAAGTTGGTTGTGCATCCGGCCGCCTGGCTGCGTCTATTTTAGGTTAATTCTTCTATAAGGAAACTTGATAACTCTTGTTAAAAATGCGATTGTCCAGGTGATCATTTTTTAAATTAGGTTGACTGGTCTGGGCTTTGTTGGAAGCAAAAGGCGGGCTTTGTTTTTCCTTTGTTAACATAAAGAACCTGTGCTAAAACAAATTCATGATTTTCATTAAGATATTGTAAACCATTCCAAGATAAATTACGAATCAATAAACTAGGTTATTTTTGGCCTGGTCTATGTCAGAATGAGTCTTTAGATGATTTACATAACAAACAGAGAATTTTATTGGCTAAAAATATTCCCACGACCAAATAGGGGTAAAGCTAAGGTGAAATTGGCAATAGAAGATTAGATACATCAAGTTTATATTGGCAATAAAGAGAGTAATACTATGCTCTCTGATTTTAAAAGAGTGTCCACTCAACTAGAAAAAACCGATCTTATATTTTTAAAGTTACCCTTATTTACATATTCCTAAAAGTCTTTTAAATTACTCCAATATTTTTATGATATCATTAAATAGGTTTAATATTTGGATATTCCAAGTTTGAGCGCCATTTATTTGTTGTCTATTACGGTACTGATGCTATTTGTCTGGTTTCTGTTGTTGTTATAGATCTCTTAGATCTTTTATCTCTGAGCCGAGGGTTTTCTGAAAACTGCCTCCCTACCCACGAGGCAAGGGTAAGGTCCGCGTACACTCTACCTCCCAAACCCCACTAGTGAGATTATTAGTGTGTTAATGTTGTTGTTGTTGTAGTGCAATTCAAATTTGTGCTATTCCACGTTTTTTTACATATTTCAAGTTTGGCTCACTTATGGTTTGGTTTATGTATTTAAAATTTAGTTAAGGCATGTGATGATCAAGAGTCCACTTTTATAATTTTAATTAGGGATAATTTAATCAAATTACTTATTTTGAACACTTATTTTGAATGGGAGGGAGAATTAAGTAAGATACAAATACAATATGATTGGAGGTTGAAGTGTACCGACAAGTAAAAATATACAGAAAAAAATATAGTGATACCTGTGTTGACAGTAATTAATTAGTAGGACCCAATTAGTGGTAACTTGCAGCTCCTCCTAATCTAGTGCATCCTCTCTTCGGTCTTGAGGTCACTACTCATTCTGAACTTTGCTGGATCTCTTCGTTGTAATTAGTAGGAATTCGTAATCGTGTAGATAGGGCAAAGCAATTGCAAGGATTCATTTAATCAACCAAATTCAGATCGAACGGCGAAGCTGAAGCATTGTCGGCATCTCGCTCTCTGTCCACAGATCTCTATCTCGCTCTTCTTCACGACTTCAGCTCTTTCTCTTTGTTTACGATATTGGTACGGATTCTCAGTTTTCATTTTCCTCCTCTATGTGTTTATGTGTGAAAGAGAGAACATATTATGTACATATTTTTCTTCACTTGCTAATCATTTTGTTCCTTCAGCTTTATAAAGTGTTGCTATGCTTTTCATTCTGCTGTTCCTTGCATTATCAACTTATTTCTGTTGTTTTCTTGTTGTATTGTTATTATTTGTTGCTTGCTAACATGCTTAGTCTTGTCTGCCTGTCGTTCATATATTCCTTTTCCTCCAGTTTTAGTCCTACTCTTTGCACCCTTTTTGAGTTGCCTATATGCTTTTGTTTCTGCATTGATTCAACATTGAAAAAATCCGATTGTTGAGGAGTTGGACGCAAATTTCTTGCTTACTTCTTTACCAGATATTACAGGTTGTTAGAATTATGTTCAATTCTGTTAGTTCTATAATAAGGTATAAGTTAAGTTGCAAAAATGTGAGTTTGCTAAAATGTTTCATAGTAAATTCCTTTGGTGAAGCAGATTAGCTTTTTCAAAATCTTCTTATGGAGCATGCATTCAGTCACTGTGCATAGTTAGTTATAAATTGACTGCTAAAAGGTGGTTTTGCAGTGTGTCCTGTGTTAAGTATTTTACCTTTTCAAGGAATTCCGTGTCGTTTAAAATTTATATTGTCATTGTTATTGCGCAGTTACATTCATCTTTTGTGATAGTCTATCTAATTCAATTTACCTGCTTTAGTGCTTGCTTTGACTTATCAGGTTGTTTTAATTGTTTCGCTGAAACAAATATTACTTGTGATATTAGTAATTGATGTGTGACACATTTATCATACTTTTCCAGATTTTACCAGTCCATGTTTCTATACCGGCATACACAGACACAAGCTGGTACATCCTAGATCATCTTTAAGGAATGAATGCAGCAGTTGAACTGAATTTTCACCTCCTATCTGCAAAATGCTCCTGGATCCGAATTGATTGATTTTTGTATTGGAGGGAAATTCTTGGTAATTTTGAGAGACGGAGTCCATTTGGACTTCCAAGTGACTTACAATGATGATCAGCAAACAACTTTTATTGACATATTTTTATCTCCTTGTCTATATTTTGCTTTCATCAGGAGTTATTTTGTATAACAAGGTATGCACCTTTTTCCAAGTATTTCATGATTGTCTTCGAATTCATTGGACCCATGGATTATTCTGTCCGTTGGAATCTGTTTACAGCTATAACTTAAGTGCAATTGATCGATGTTAGAAATACAAAAGCGTTATATTTAAACTGTGATTCGGGCAACCTCGGAGAACATACACCAAATTGACAAGCTGCTGTCATTCATTACCACTAGATTCCAAGGAAAACTTAGTAGGGGACATGGAATGGATCACTTACTTTAACAACCAAAAAAAAGTAGAAAAGTAAAACATGCAAAATATTTGCTGCTAGTCCAAAATCAACTTTTATATCCATTAAAAACTGAAAAGAGAAGGGACACAAGTTTCTTTACGTTCCATCCAATTAAACCAAACAACATGAAGGGAAGAACAATTCTTTATGAAAGAACCAATGTTTTTCATTTGAGATATTTTTGAGACCGATGTCAGTGCAGACACGAGGCATTTGGGGAATCAGGGAGAAATAAACAAATGATGAAGGAGATATGAATCCAATGATGTGGACGTGGAGTAGTGTTTATCTAGATTTGGCCCCATTTGGCATTAAGAGATACATAATTCTTGTTTAACTGTTAGTCTTTAATTGTTGTGTGAAGTATAAATTATGAAGCCATAATGATCCTCTAGAATAAGGAACGTGTTCAAAAATACCACTTCCTTGCTTTACTGCACCCTTGCTGCGTAACATTGTCTTGACTTTTCCAACATCATGCATTAAGGGAGTGAGCACACAGCAGGGCACTTC